GTGAAACAAAAAAAGAAGGGGTTCACCAATAGGGGGGGGGGGGGGGGGTGTCACTCAAACCTGCCATGCCATTTGCCATAACTTGCAAGCTAGCCCAAGTCACTTATAATGCATGACCAGAGAAATAAGCATCATCTTGTGAGATCTAAGACTGGTCTGGGGGCAAGTACTTGTCTTAAAGGTAGCTCTGTCATCTTCTTTAAATTACACAAAAGTTTTAGAATGATTGAGAAAGAGAGCAATGCTGCATGAGAACCTAAATACACTCTTAAATAGGTAAGTCTTACTGGAGAACAAAAATAATCCACCCTAAATTCTACTGGTCTCTGTGGTCAGCAGATTACACAAGACTGACTCCACGCATCTCTGAGTGTGTATAAGAGAAGAATTAAAAGGCCATGCTCCACAGTGTGCCCAATGGAAACCAAAATATGGTATGTAAGATGCTGCAGACCAATATTCTTTCTAAACGCACCCAGAGTGGCAAACATTTTCATTTGGAAATGTCAGGGCTTACTGCTCCACTAAACACTTTCTTCTCCATATTTGATATGCATTCTACAATAAAGGGTATTCTTTGCATCCTTTTTCCAAACAAGAATTCCTAAGAATACTTTCAGGTAGGTATAGTGATACATGCCTGTAATACTAGCAGGAAGAAGGGGAGGCAGGAGAATCACTAGTTAAGAGGTCAGCCTGGGCCACAAAAGTGAATTGAGGCCAGCTGGGCTACAAAGCACAGAGATCCGTTCTCAAAAAAAAAAAGTATGTTTACTGATCTTTTCCCATCTTACGCTTTATTTTATTTAGTGTACAAATAATCAAAGTCTTAATATTGGGTATTAATATCTGCCAAAAACACTGACCACTCCATCATGAGCAAGTAAAGCCTAGTTCATAAGAGTGTTTAACAGCTAACTACCAGATTTTATTGGATCAAATCATCTTTAATGGATGGCAAGTTTTCACAAAGACATGGAATTTTAGAGACAAGATACTAATAACTGTTCACTCAGTTGCTTTTGTGAGCATGTTAATTTTATAATCTTACCTCAGCCATGATAATTTTGAGCTGCAGAATACAAAGAAATTTAGCTCACCAAATACTTGCATTGGCTTTCAAAATGTTTATGGCAGCCTCTGCAGCTCTGTGTTTCGCCAGCTTCTTACTTGTACCTTCACCTGAATTGAAGATTTAAAAGCAAGCTTTTATTCCCTGTGAAAATCTATGCATTACAAAGCTGTCTGTCATAATGCAAAACAAAGTCACTATATACATGCTTGCTACTAAAACCATCCACCACATGAAGGTATAGTAGTAAAACAGTCACCATATGAAATGAATAGACTAAAGCCACAATTTTAAAAGTTCTATGTGTCTGAGTTTATGCACATCTGTACAAAACACTATTTCTACATTATATATGTTTATTACATAAGACAGCTATAAACAAGACCACATCGCACCTCCTGAAGAAATACATTTTATCTTCCCTTATTCTAAGACAGAGAAGAAATTCTTCTGCAAGATTTCTTTAAAGAAGCCACTTACAGTCCCTGTTCTAGGTGAAGCAGTCTTGACTACATGTTGAGTGATGTAGAAAAGAGTTGACATGTAGGTGATAGCTTATGTCATAAGTCTCCCATACAACCTGTATACCTAAGATGGACAGGTGAGCAGGGGCTGGGAAGAAGACTGAAGCCTCAATTCCAACAGTCGGATGGGGTAAAGAGTAAATGTCAATCTTGCTTCCTTCTGAGTTCAAACCCTCAAACAGAATAAATTTCAAGTGTGACCTTCAATTACTCTTTTGTCTATCTACACAGACCTCTGAGATATAGCATAGAACTTGTTGTGTAGGACCAAGAGTCTAGTGTGGGTTTTGTCTGTTAATAGACATTAACAGAGGGTGTGTCATAAGCCTCAGAGCAAGCTGTAAAGAAGCATACAGGATTAGCAGCTTGCCAGGTGTGGTCATGCATGCCTGCTATCACACCTCAGGAGGCTGAGGCCCAAGGATGGTGAGTTAGGGGTCAGCTTGAGCTATATGAAACACTGTCAAAATCAGAAAGGAAAAACTGCAGGAGTTCACCTATTCTTGGTATTTTGAACAGGAAATTTTCATGGAGGAAGACATAAATGGATACCTGAAAGATGAGTAAAAGCTAGTAAGGTTGGGGAGAGGTGGGGACTAGAACACTGTAAGCAGAGGAAGCACCTGCAAAGGTCAAGGCAACACAGAGCAGTGTTTTCAAGCAGCTGATAATAAGTAGAGCCTAACAGCTTATGGAAGGAATTCTGAGGTCTTGTGGTTGGGGAAGGAGGAAACAAAGGATATTAAACCTTCACATGTATAGCAACTTCCAGGGAACTTTTTAAAAAGTATATACTCTGATCCCACCATCTAAAAGGGACCTAATACTAACCATATGGTATTGATGAGATTTTAAGAAGGAAGGTTGCAACTTATTGTTATACCCATAGATTAGTACACCTCTCAACACTCACCGAAGACATTTTTTACAGCAGATGGCAGTTAACAGACACCCATAACTGGTAACAGGTAGAGAATAAGAGACTGCAGAGTGCTTAGCCCTATCTGGGACACCTATATCAGACTTACTTCTCAAGGTTCAGGGGACAGAAAGATTGTAAAAGCCAAAGGCAGTGGATGAATATAAGGAAACTGTTATCTGGACACAACAGGGCAGTTGCACAAATGAACCCACAGTGCTTGTGATAACGTGTAAAAGATCTGTGCAAGCCCAAGACAGACGAAAACCCGGCATGGATGGGGGAGTAGGCAAGAAGCCCCAGCCCTACTTGAGGAACTACAGGCAACTGGAAGAGGAAAAGTCAGTTTTAAGGGTATGACACAGAGGAGGCTGACCAGGCTCCAGGGAATGGACCCACACCCAAGAGCATTTGGGGAACATAAATTAGACCTGGTAAGTCTTTAAAAAAAAAAAATAGAGCTGGATGTGTTGGTGCACACCTTTAATCCCAGCACTTGGGAGGAAGAGGCAGGTGGATCTATGTGAGTTCAAGGCCAGCCTGGTCTACACAGTGAGTTCCGGGCTAGCTGGGGCTACAGGGAAACCCTTTCTCAAAATGAGAAAGTTTGAAAGTTCAGATTCATGGATTATGACTATATTCATATATAGTCATAATGCATTAATCTATAAAATATATATTATGAAATTATCAAAGAATAAAAAAAATTAAATTTAGGTGATAGAGACATCATTGAATGGACTGTAAAAAAGAGGAAGACAAATTTGAGTGGTAGAAAAAGCCCTCTGAGTGTAGTGGTACATACCTATAATAAAAGCATTTGGGAGGCTGAGGTAACAAGATAGGGAATTCAAGGCCAGCCTGGGCTACATAGTAAGAATCTACCTCAAAACAACAATAACAAATAACACTGTCTGTCATGTAAAGAATGGACATCAGAAGACTAAAACCTGAAAGAACACTTCCAAGACAGGAGCTATAATCAAGTGAAAGATGACAGTGGTCTAGACGTAGGTAGCGACAGAATGAGAGAGCAGCAGACTCGGCAGTTACTCAGCAGATAGGGTTTTAAGATAGAATGGACACAGTGGGGGAAGGACAAAGAATCAAGATGACAAACCCCAAGTTTCTACTGAGCAACTGGGTGAGTATGATGCCTTTGCAGAAAAGGGGAATGTAAGAAAAATGGTTTGCATGAGAAGATGGTTTGCTTTGGGATGATGAGCGTCTGAGATACCTTTGCTTAATTCAAGCAAAGATGCCCAGAGAGAAAGGCAAGACGTGCAGCTTTGTTCCTCTGGCTGAAGATGTAGATTTCAGCATTATTAACCTTAAGATAGTAATTGAAACTGTGGAGGCAGGAAAGCCAGTACAGGAAGGCAGGGTGGTGTGAGAAGAAATCCAAGGCAGAATGGTTGAACAGGCTGGTAATCTCCAATCTAAATTGGCTATTTTTTTTTTCCCTTGACTTCCCTACCCCTAGTATATTTTTTAAATGAGCAGTTAAAAAAGGAGCTCAATTCTGATCCTGAGGATCACTATGAGCAACCTTACAGCTGGCGCTTACAACCCTCCTGCCCCCCAATACAAAAAAAAAAAATAAAAAAAGCTTTAAAGTATTCTTAAAGTGGCTTGAATGAATGTAGAGGATGCCAGATTCCCAGAGATACAAACATATGATGTGTTCAGATTTTTTCTTGTGTTATTCTTCCAAACTAAGTATTCAGTAACTTTCTATTTGTAATTAAATAGGTATATAAGAAAAGTAATGTCCACATTTACAAAAGGGAAACTTTGGTTATCATTTTCTCAGGCCCAGACGGAAATAATGCATGAATCTGAACTTTCAGACTTCATTGTTGTGTGACCTTGGGCATGTGGCTTACGAAAACTTCTTCAGAACTTGCTTCTTCATGAATAAAAAGGGGATACAATTTTACACAAAATACCTGTGTAGTATCAACAATTAGAACTTACTCTGTAATATAGCTCTGGGGTTATACAGTCTTGTAGTCTTTTTTTTTTTTTTTTTTTTTTTTGAAAAAAGGGCCCTTTTTTTTTTTTTCTTTTTTTTTTTTTTTTTTTTGTGTGGGTTGTTGGGTGGTGT